TAGGTAAATTAGTGAAGTTTTTTAAATTTTTCTCATTTTATGTATAATTTTTTTAAGAAATAACCTGCGATGGCCCCTGACCTAGCAGGTTAGGTAAATTAGTTGGGTTTTGTCTCATTTCATGTATACTTTTTACGAAACAATCCTGGATGGTTCCAGGCCGCATAGGTTAGGTAAATTAGTTAGGTTTTGTATATTTTTTGCTAAATAACCGGCAATGACTCTAAAACTTACTGTTAGGTAAAGTTTTTTTAAATTTTTCTCATTTAATGTATAATTTTTTGAAGGAACCACCTGCGATGGCCCCTGACCTCACAAGTTAGGTAAATTAGTTAGTTTTTTTCTCATTTTATGTATTATTTTTTGCGAGGTAGTCCTGATGTCTCTAGGCCGTATAGGTTAGGTAAATTAAATAAGTTTTTTAATTTTTTGCATTTTATGTATACGAATGAATATGCGATGATTCCAGGCTGCACAGATTAGGTAAATTAGTTAGGTTTTTGTATAATTTTTGCGAAATTACCTGCAATGGCTCTAAAACCTACAGGTTAGGTAAACTAGTTTTTGGGGGTAGGGGTAAATTTCATGAGATCGCTAGGATTTTTTTTATTTTTGTGTTCGGAAGGCTTCTTTACTTATAAAAACATTTTTTTTTTTGTTAAAGTGTGGATTAACTCTAAACTGCATTTTTTCTAAAAGAAGTAACAACAGTTTTTATTAGAACCAACATCAATTTAATTTAAAAAAATTTCGTTTTTGAAAAATTTTAACAAGGAGATAGAGCTGGGTAATTTTTAGCCTGTATTTATTGATGAGACGTGTGTATATAGCTAGGGAAGTGACAGAAAAAGTTTGCAAGATCGAACGATGACTACTGCAAGTAAACAAGTATTAGAAATTAAAAATTTAAAAAAACCGACTTCAAAAACGTGCATATGCCATCACCACATCGTATCCAAATTTATATGGGACCACCCCTGAAGTACCCCCTTTCTAACAAAAAAAGAATCATTGAAATCGGACACCGTGTTAAAGAATTATCGCTGAACATACATAAAAAAAAATATTGCCACGAATTGAGAACCCTCCTTTTTTGAAGTCGGTTAAAAACGAGATGGAATTCGATAGATTATTGTCCATGGTGGCAATGAAAAAGGGTTTATAAAAAATTTGACCTAATATTTAAAAATCAAACAAAAAGCGAAAATTTCTATAATAATATGAACACAGAACATTTTGAAAAATGGTTTAAGACGAAATGTATACCTAGTCTGGAAAATTCATCTTTGATTAAAATCGATAATGTCAGTTATCATTCGCGATACGTGGAACCAATTTCATGTTATTGTTGGACAAAATATAAAATGACAAAATGGTTGCAGAAAAAGAGCATTAATTATCCAATCAATGGTATGAAATGTGAGCCTTGGGAAGTTGTACGTCAAAATCCACCACGAAAATAATTCCACCTACTAATTTGTTGAGGAATGTGGGCATAAAATATTAACTACTCCTCCACATCACTGCCAGTACAACGTGATAGAGATGATGTGGTCACAGTGCAAACGCTTTTATGACGATAAAATTTTATCAACAAAGTCGTCATCAGAAGATGTATTTCAGACTTGGTCAGAAGCTTTGAATAATGTTACCGATATTATGTCTGACAATTATGTAAGACACACATAAAAACATATTTTTTTCCGATTGGGAAAAATACAAACAATTAGATGTTTCTGATCTAGAACCAATTATTATTAATTTAGGTACAACGGCAAGTAGTGATGAGTCCAGTTGTGACGAAAATGATATTGATTATAAAAATTTATATGAGTTATCCAATAAATATTTTCTGTATCTCTTGTTATAATATATTTTTTTAACAAAGAACTGTTTTACGAATTTGCACCGGTTTTGGATTATCTTTAAAAACTCTCAAGAAGGCTAAAAACCAATGTTCAGCTGGTAATTTATTTATAAAGTACAAAAGTAAATTGTTTTTGTATTTGTGGACAAAATGTAAAACGTAAGATTTATTTTTTTTTAAGTGACTTCTTGTAAACGCACCTTAATAAAGTACACTGCTAAGAAACAACAGAGCTCAACTGAAATAAGATGACACGTGCAAACTATAACTAAAAATGCAATGCTCTTTTGTCAGAAATTGGGATATTTCTGTCACTTTACTAGTTCCATTACTACACTGTACTGCTCCCAGCTAATGGCAAGAAATCGTTCTTCGTGCGACGGCGATTGAGAAGAAAGCAAAGTTGCAAAGAATACTTAGTGGTTTTAATGTTTTTTTGAGAACACGGCTATCATCTTTCACGATTACACAGTTGGCAACTCCAAGCTGAATTTATTGGGAATATTTTAATGTTTCAGCTTCCTCTTTATCTGTTGTGTTAATTATACTAACTCCGTGCTTATTTACTAGATTATATCTGCTGTTCTTGTTTGCGTGCTTGGTAAGGCTCCAAAATGATCTTAACCGCAATTATTCCAGACGAAATAGTTTCTCTGATTTAAAGTTGAGTAGTAATTGACAAAGTTTTTGTCAGAAATGCAAGAATGCAGAATGCAAGAAATAAATGATAAAAATTATTTGAGTCTCTCCAAGTGGCAGAATTGTAGTGAAAGATACCATAATTATTTTTAAATTTTATTTCATTTTAGGAAACACTACAATCAATAAGCGATTTGATATGTTCTCTAGTTCCTGACATTGTTAAATTAATATGTCCAACTACTGTAATCAGTATGGTTAAGAAAGGAGTTGATACATTAATAACAAAAACAGAAGAGTCCAAAGAAATGTGTACGAAATTATCGTTGTGCCAAATAAATTGAGATTATTATAAAGATGAACTTTCAATAAATTTAGATGAAAAGTATAATCTGTGTATTTTATATATAACCCACATTTTTCTCCAAGAGTGGTCGTAGATAAAGTTGTAATGTAAACACAAATTTTAGTACGTGAATCTATACTTGGTTCAAAAGTGTGTAAAGAATATTGAAAATAAGCGCATGAATGCCATTGCTATTTCTATGAAGTTTTCATTATACCTATACTTGATGAAATTTATATATTTTTGCTACCTTATGAGAGATCACCCTTAATATGAGTATTAGAAAATAGCACATAAGAAATTAAGTGTACTTATTGTATAGTTTTATTATTTACTTTATTTTTGTAATATTTTTGTTTTCATTTTAAATGAATATACCAATAAGAAATAAAATAGTGAGCGAAAGAGGGCGTAAAATCAACAAGTTAAAAGTATTTTTTTAAAACCGACTTTAAAATCGTGCATATGCCATTACAAATTGAGTTTTCTGATTTTCTCAGAGATGCCATCACCAGATTTGACGAAATTTATATGGGAACACCCCCAAGATATCTCCTTCCTATATAAAAAAAAAATAATCACAGTAATTGGACAAGGTGATAAAGAATTATCGCTGAATAAACGTTCTTAAAATATTCAATTATTCATGTCAGATACAGTTAACCAAATAAAAAAAGTTTATTAACATTACAGAATATTCTTATCAGTGTGAACTATGTAATTATCAATCACAATAAGATATTTTATTTAAATAAATGCTATGGAAAATTGACAGAAACTCAATAACAACAAAAAATAAGGTAAAGTAATTAAGCAGAGAAATCCGTAGAATGATATCTATGTATCTTCTTCTGGCAATTTTCCATCTTCCATACCTATAATATGATTTCAAACATCAGTGACAAAGATCCTACATAACGTTTGGTGCTAAAAATAGCTCTGGGTTGTGAAAATGTTCACGGTATTTTTACCGTCGTTAAATACAACTAAATAGAGGTCAAGCCTATTTATTTAGAGTAAATTGGAATAAATCACTTCCACAAAAACTGTACATATACTTGAAGATAGGTATGCAGGGATTCAGAGCCTCTTATCATTAGAATTTTATTTCCCATACTTTTAAGAGTTTCGGAAAAGATGTTAAGACAGCGTTTCTCAACCTGTAGGGCGCGCTTCCCTAGGGGGGCACCATAACTCTACATAAGGGGCGCCAGCACATCAAAATAAAAAATAAAAAACTACTAATAAAAAAAAATAATTCACAGAAAAAAAGCAAAATGACATTCTGACATTACAAAAAATTAAGTAAGTACAGTATACGTTTAAACTAATATACTATTTAATTATTATAAAAATAATTTTATCAGTAGGTACTGTCAAATGCTAAATGAAACTAATAATAAACCAGAGGCGGCTCGTGGCCTAGTCTACGAGAAGGTTACGGAGGCTACTTAATACAAATATATATTTTCTATTAGAATAGAAAAAGCAGAAATATTACATTGTATTCTAATAGAAATATTAAGTATATAAGGTGTGCCAGCCTTCTCATAGACTAAGCCACCAGCCACCCTTGTAATAAACTCATTAGTATTAAATTAAAAGTGGCTTTAATAATTAATAGTGACTCCCTTGGGCTTGACTCGTTCAGCAAAGTTTTTTAAAAGAAGTTTTCAAATTACAAATAGCCACTCTCAGTTCTTTGTGTAAATTCAGTCAGGCCTATATTTCATCTTTAAAGCAGCCTCCGCGAAAAATCCTACCTTTAGGATGTTGAAAATGGCAATAATATAGGTACGAAATTTTCTTGTTTTCAGTGAAGAAAAGGCATCAGCCACTACCGCCCAAAATTCAAAGAGAAATTTATTAATAAATTCTCTTTTGATTTCGCCACTTGCTGTACAGTCTATGAAGATTTCTGCTTCTACAGTTAAGAGACCTTCGGGAGTAGTTCGAAATGAATCCCTAACCCACTACCAATTTGCCGTCAACAGGAAAATACTTTTTAAAATTCTGTGCCAACATGGATAAATGACTTTTTATTGTTACAAAAACAACTTCCAGATACTGGTCTTCTTCTTTGTATATTTTTGAACGTTCATTCACATTAGCAAATAATTCTAGTTTTTTTTGTTTCACATTTCTGCTTCACAGCTTCATCTTTCTACAAAAAGCACTAACTTTATCACTGGTATCTAACATATGTGTGTTTGCTCCTTGGAGTTGTAGATCCAGGGTATTTAATTTCTCGACCAAGTAACTCAATTTCATCACAAATAAAGCATCTCGAAACTTTTCGGCTACCGGACTGTTTTCCACTTCTAGAAAAGTGACAATTTCCTCTTTTAACTCATAAACACGTTGTAAAAATATCCCACGCGATAACCATCTGGCCTCGCAATAAAATTGCAACGTCGAATGTTCTGCACCCATATCTTTGCAAAGTGCATTAAAAATTCTTGATTTTAGGAGTCTTATTTTTATATAATTAACTACAGTTACAACCATCGTTAGTACAATGTTGAGACCAAAACTAATTTCTTTGGAAGCCAGATCCTCTCTATGGACCATGCAATGGGTCCAGACACGTTGCGGAGGTTTTTGTTTTACAAGTGTTTGTACACTTTGGAATCTTCCAGACATTGTACGAACACCATTGGTGCATATTCCAATGCAATTTTTACACTCTATGTTTGCCTCATTGATAAAATCATTTAAAATATCAAACAAAGTAAGAGGTGTTGCTTTGAAATCTATAGATTTGCAGAAAAGTAGTTCTTCTACTGCCGATATCTTTTTTTTAATGTCAATTTTTATTTAAATTTCAGATACATTAATTGTCTTTTTATTTGGTCAGCGATCGAGAGGTTGCAAAATCGGACATAGGCAATTAAATGACCGTCTTTATTGCTATATATTGCCTCGTCAAGCTGATTCGTAAACAATTTGTCACGCAACTTTTAAAGAATCTGATGCTGTACATACTCACTATAAAGTGTTTCCAAATGGCGTCTAAGTTTATTAGGTTTCATGCTGTTTGCTGCCACAATTTTGAAACAAATAACGCACATAGGTCTTTATTTTTTATTTATTTTTGATTTTAGCTTCGAAACCAGAAACCATGGTCGATTGTGCACTTTTTAATGCTTCTCTGTTGTCTAATACTCGCTTACGTCCAGTTAAAAATCCATGTATAAATTTACTGCCGTAAAATATACGTAAATATCTTATGCGGAAATTCGGTGCAGTTACACAAAACTTATTAAATTTGGCACCGCGACTCGACTTAAACTGATCGGAACCTCTAACAGCCGCAGCATTTAAATACTATTGCTCCGCTGTCGAGCAGATCTTCCATACTATTCCAAACAAATGGAAACCATGGTCGAAAATTCTAAAAAAACTTAAGTCAAATTTGAATTTCTTTATGTTTTAAGGGTTCGCCCATGGGGACACAGTACACCGGTTTACCCGAACACTGGTCCATATATTCGTGCTCCATTGGTTTATTAGCCACCTGGCCTACTATTTCAGTGGTTTTACACAGATGGTGATGGTAATGATGTTATTAGTTACACCCTACCTTCAGGTTTTTTTATATTATATTGGTGATTTCATGTGGGTCCAGGCACTATGCCTGCTAATTTGTTAAATAAATCATATTATTTTTAACTTTAAGCTAAAAATTTTCACACAAATGTTTTAGTGGATTTATATTTAGTACTGGAAATTATTTTAAAATTTAGTTGAATAAGGACTTAGTGATTTAAGTATTTACCAAGTACAATATATTATTTTAAAATTTAGTTAATTAAGCACTTAGTGTTTTTAGTATTGACCATAAATACTTTGTAACCTAAGGGTTACGGTCAACATTTCACTCATTCGATTCGTTAATAAAAAAATTAGGACTTAACGAACAAGTTAAGCAGCCTCATAAGATCCATATGGGACAGAGAATTAAATAACCTCTTCCAATTTGGGAGCTTTAAAGTATTTTTTTTTTTTTATTTATTTATTTATTTATTCTTACATTCAACGGCCAAGGCCTATTACAGAATGCGCACTTAACATTAATAAACATATATTTGTAAATAATACAATAAAAGCAAAACAAATTTTAAAGTAAAACTATAAATGAGATTGTATGAGTAATCTGAAAAAAACTCCAGTGGAGAAAAAAGGTTACTCACACATATCGCATGCGAAACAACTAATATATAAAGATGAAATTAGATACAAAAACATAAAAAACTTAATTACACTAAATATTTTAATTAGGAATATATGGATATAAATCAGGAATAAAGTTTTTTAATCATTGAGATGGTAGTACAAAATAGATCAATTTCTTTACTCGAGTCATTAACCGTGGACAGCATATGGTACAATGGAGACTGACATACTAAGTTTGTTCTGGGAGTGGGAAGAATGAATGTGCAGCTGTACCTGGAATTAATTCTTAGAACTAGGAAGTTAAGCTGAGCACATAAAGCCGGGCATTTAATTAAATGGTGTACTATTTTAAAAATGAAAATAATTGAAGATATAATTCTACGTTGAAATAAGCTCTGCATTCCAAACATTGTTAAAAGCTGGTCTTGTGGGTATCCTCTCTCAGGGTAAGTTCCATGAAAATAATAATGAAGACTCATAAGAAAACGTCGCTGAACCTTTTCTAAAGTTAAAACGTGCACATTATAATTAGGGGACCATATTATTGAGGCATATTCAAGCATGGATCTAACAAGGGCACAGAATAACAGTTTGTACGTATCTAGATTATTAAAATCTTTGATAGATCGTAGTATAGAACCTAGAACTTTATAACAAGATGCGACAGTTATGGCCAAATGATTAACAAATGTAAGTTTTGAATCGAAGACAACACCGAGGTCCTTAATCGTGTCAGGTCTACAATATAGGACGACACCTCCTATATTGTAATCGTATCTTATGCAGTCACTCTTTCGCGTATATGACATTACGTTGCATTTTGCAGGATTTAACATGAGCTTATTATTTATACACCAGTTTTGAATTTTGTTTATATCGGTTTGCATTACGATACAGTCATTGTTGTTATTAATCATTGAAATAAGCTTCTAGTCATCAGCGTAGAGTAAATATTGAACATTAATATTCTTACAAATATCATTAATAAAGATTATAAAGCATAAAGGCCCTAAAATGGAACCTTGGGGTACACCAGAAACTTGAGATATCAAGCGAGACTTAACGCCACTAATAAGGACATACTGAGAACTGTTACTTAAGTAGGAGCTAAGGAGAGTACATTATCAGATAAATTCAACATATTTAACTTTGATAACAAAATGGGATGACTAAGGCGATCGAATGCTTTCGTAAAGTCAGTGTAGATCACATCTACCTGTCCACCGCGATCCAATATTTCGCTGATAAATCGAGTTTTAATGGCTAGATTGGTAACAGTAGTATATACCACTGTTGTATCTTAATTATTTTATATGTGTATTATATGTTTGCTTTGTGATTTCTATTTCACATACAAAATTTCAGTTTTTACATTTTTCTTTTTAAATAAAAAAGTATATTGTGTTTCACCATTAAAATTTGTTGTTTATTTATAGGTGCAGATGTGCGTTGATTTATAATTTTTCGTTTATTTTGTGGAATTGTAAAAAGGTTGACATAAATATTTTACGGGTTATGCAATATTCTACTTAATATTTTGCACATATTGTCCTTCTTTTAGTACCATTGCCTAAGACTTACCGTGCCATCTATTGATGGATTTATTCTTTTTGGGTTTGTATGTAATGTAACATATATGATTTAATTTTTACTTTCTCTAGATATTTAGTTTATTTAGTTATTAATTCATAATAAGTTGTAGAATAAATCTATTGGCGACGTTCTAGAACAATAACTTTGTTAGGTTGAATCTTAAACATTGTTTTTTTAATAAGTTAGTTTTAAAACAATAATTTTAAATTTGTTTATTGGCAAACATATGGGGTATGTTTATAGTTTAGTTTCTTTCATAATGATTTAAAAATTGTTAATCATTGGATTTATTTGGTAAATTTATTATAAAGTTACATATGTTTGAGGTTTGTTTTTTATTTCTTTCCTCATTTACTGGGTTTGTCTAGAAAAAGCTTAATTTGGGAATTATGGAAACTCAGTTGGAGCCCCTTCCATTTTTATACTATTTCGAAGATTTTTATAAGCTATGCACCCCCTAGCTGCCGTCTGAACGACGTTGAAGGCCAGAAGGTCGACACGGGAACAACCAAAACTTATGTTACCAAGTAGTAAATTTTATAAGTAAAGTTTTTTGTAAGTCCGGTTTTAGGCAGTAGACCTCACTGGAATTTGTAAAGTGCATTTGACAGGTTAAATCGTTCCCCTAAAGATCCTCAGAATAAGCCTGTCATTTATTTTAATGGGAGCAAATGAAAAAATTGTCCTATATTTTAATAAATAGTTTTTTTATTTATATATTTAATATATCAGCATAGAGAAAAATCAATACATAATTGTTCAGGAGTTTTTCCTTGGATAAAATACATGTCATACAACAATTGGTGTGCATCTTGTACATTTCCAAGACAGAATGACTTAACAAATACTGGTACCAAGGAACAGGCATACTGACCAAAACCTTTTATTTCGTCCTGAAAAAAATATTGAGAATCAATGTTTATACAGGGTGAATCCTGAGTTGAAACTTTTGTTAACTGTGTACAGTAGTCGTTAAAATAAACATCTTTTTCAAATAAATTTTTAAAAAAAAACTTAAAAATAAGAACGATACAGAATTACAAAATTTGAGTCCAGGGCCTCGATTTCTCTATGAAAACAGTTGTTTATGTTTTTATCTGTATTACCATTTTTTTCCATTTTTCTCTTGAACCACGCTCCATTGTGTACTTCTTATTGTAATTCATTCACGTGTGATTTCAGTAGCGTGTTTATCTGAAATAGTTAATTATGGTGAATTATGACAGCAATGAACTTGAGGCTATGTTGCTTATTTATGGCGAGTCGCCACTACTTGCGAGCTCATCATACTCTTAGACTTCATTAATCTGGCTCAACAGGCTGAGATGCAGGTGATTTGTGGGAATATTCTGAACATCTAGGAAGACCGAGAGGCATGAAGTGTGTTTGTGTTGAAATAAATGGTGACCACTTAGAACAAAATATTTAAGTTAGACATGACCGTATTAGATACATTTTGGAATATATTAATGCAAGTTTTTTATTTTTTAGTTTTTTGAAAGTCAATTGAAAAAGTTGTCTATTTTAATAACTTCTATAAAAAAGTATCAACTTATAATACAGAAAAAATATTTTTTTAAATAACCAAATTTTGTTCCAGCGTTGTTTTTTTTTTATATGGAAGAGTAACAAAGTTCGACTAGTCAAAATTATGGGATTGTTTAAAAAAAATAAATAATTTTTTTTTTATTTTTACTTGTAATACCACTCACTATAGGTTAAATTTTCGGTATATAATTTAACTTGGTGATATTTGTATAGAAACTTTGCCCCAAAGTTGCAGCATATAATTAAATACCTATTGCCAGAATTTATTTTTACTTTAAGATTTTTGTTTTATTTCGTTTTGGTCTGTATTTATGTGTGATTACTTG